ACTTCTGTACATTTGAGCCGTTCCATCCACAGTCGAGCTGTCAGCAGCTAACGCTGCCTCCTGGGCTGTTCTACAGATTATTATGTGGTAATAAGATAAGCACAGCCCTCTTACTACCACACACACGTTCAATGACATGCACGATTTAACAGAAGTGGGATATGCCCGACTCAACGTCCTGTCAGCACAGAAACAAAGGACAGCTCTCCGGACCAGCATCCCACCGCGGTGCACAGCAGCCAGCGCAGAAACCGAAGGGCGTCGAGTCCTGAGCAGCCTCGGGGAGCAGACGTGTGGCAGCTCACTTCTTCTTGCCTGCTCTCTTCCCCTCTCCTTTCTTTGGCGTCCCTTTTCCTCTTAGTTTCCTCAGACGACGCATCTCCTCCTTGAAGTCTTCGTGCTCATCTCTAAAACAAATTAAGGATTTGATTAGACACAGTTTTTACTTCTGCCATACTTACATCTTATGGATTTCACTGTTTTTCATGTGAGATCTCTTCAGAAAGTTATCAAACCATCACTCAGGACTTTCTGGTGAAGCAGAAGAAGAAAGCCACGTTGAATAAGGGCACAGGACATCTCTGCAGACTTTACCTGCACAGGTATGTAACATAACAGCTACCCGAGTATATCTGGTGACCCATTTGAACCTCTTGTTTCACCTTCAGCTCATGCTGGACCCTCCTCAGTGGGAGCCTGACCTGGAAGCTTTAAGCCAGGGATGGGAACGCCAGGCCTCGAGGGCCGTGTCCTGCAGGTTCTAGATATCACACCTGAATCGAGTTCATCACCAGGCCTCTGGAGAACTTCAAGACGTGCTGAGGAGGTCAATTAGCCATTTAGATCAGCTGACACATCTAAAACCTGCAGGACGCCCGGAGTTGGACACCCCTGATCTGAGCAGTTCAACATGTCTTTAAGGGAAGTAATGAGCCAAAGCTTCTTGTTCACAGAGCAACATGCAGCCCTGAGATGGTGAGATGGTGTAGTTACACACAAATGTGATATACTCTGTCATACAGCTAATTAATGTCCTCTCAATGTGGTTTACAAAGTTTCAGCACATGGACCCTGCAGTGCCTCAGCAGCTTCAAATAGCTGGCCTAATAACTGCAGTGACACTGTACGCTTCAGCAGCATCACCACACAGCAGGTCTCGTTCTCTGTTCTAGTGCACACTCAACTTATTGTTGTCCAGTGAGGCGTGGTTAAATCCCCACTGGTAACCATGAGACATTTTCCATAATAGAATAAATGATGACACCTCCAATCACATGATCTTTGAATCACACAAAGAAACAAAACCGCTGATGAAGAATACAGCAAATCATTTGGATACAATAGTTCAATATCTGAGCCACAGAAACATTTCATCACAAAACAGAATAAATAACGAAAAAAAATCTAGTAACAAGGTAGTTAGTAATTAAGAATAATTAAGTGATTAAAAACTAGTGGGAAGTGTGGGAGTGGCAGGATGTTGTCAGGCTGCACAGCTCCATGGTAGGAAAGCCTGCTGCAGTGAGCAGTGGGTCAGCGAGGCCGAGTTACAGTCCAGACGTGAACCACACTTTACATTATTAACATTTATGGATAGAATCGAAGATGCCGTCCAATATGCCGAAATCAAAGAAAGCAAAAAAACCGTCTTCTTCAGACTTGATTCAGACTTGACTGATGAGCTTTAAAATACTGCATTCAGCGTCTTATACTCTGTAAATGAGTCGTTTCAGTTTTTAACAAAAAAGCAAAGCAGTCAGAAAACTTTCTGAAGCAACTGCAGTTCACATTTCCCCCCATTTATAAGTCACTTCAAATTCTTTCTGAGGTAATAAATAGTGGCTGATTAAACTTCAGAGGCACCGACAGAGGCAGGGGGGCGGAGCTTGAATCTCTCGGGTTCCGGCCTTCACTTCCTGGTTCTCTTTTTTGGTTTTGGAAACAATGTAACTGCTCCTGCACTGACATACTTATTGCATGTTACAGTGTTTCATGCTGAAGTGTAAATTTAAATTATTTATAAAATGTATTTCAAACAAAACACATTTTAGCGTGCATACTCATATTTGTTTGTTGTTTAATCAGTTCATTATCACACCTACACTGTAATCTAATTACATTTTTTAAAGGGAGAAAATGACAACAGTGGGATTTGTTTTACTTTTTTTTTGTAAATCCCACAAAAAATGAAAATAAATGTTAATATCAGAAGTTATGAACCTTCAAACTCTTAAAAATGTGTTTCAGCAGCACAACTGTGTAAAAATAAATGAAGCCATGTTTGCTTTACAAAGGTAAATACTGTCCTCATATCACAGGTGTATTCTACTGTACCTGAACAGACCCATGAACCGGAGCTTCTGGGTCACAGCGTAGTAAATCTTGTGGTGTGGGTACCAGTCATACACCTCCTTCCTCTTGGCCATAGGCGGCTCCTGGAACAGCTGGACCACCTTCATAGATTTCAGGTCAGTTGGATGCACAACTTCTCCAAAGATCTGTGAGCTCAGTCTGGCCATCCGCAACGCATAGCTGGACAGGCCTGCCATCACTGATGAGCACAAGAAACACACAGTTTGACATGTGACGAGTTTGGACACGCCTTCTCATTTAATGTTCTTTACTACTTTCTACATTGTAGATACAAACTGAAGACATCAAATAAGTCAAACAGGATATCTGGAGTTACGTAGCAGAAAAATGTGAAAAATAACTCTAAACATGTCACAATGTAGTTTTTGGGTTTCTTTGTGGTACAACTTATCTTATTTGTTTAATCAGCATGAAAGTTACATGAACTTAGCATGTTTAAAAGTATTCTACGTAAGTTTTTCTATGATTTTAAAAGAGCTGGTGATTCATCTTCATGGTAAGAAAGGACTGAACATTTTGGGCTTTTATTTGGAGGAACAATGAGGTGCTCATGCTTGTCAGGGAACACTGGACCAGCTCTGCATCCACTCAAAACATTCAAGGGCGTCTGTGTGTTTGCCCAACTAGCCTGTGTGTGTTTTGGAGTGAGCATTTGACCGTGTCCCTCGAGATGCTTCCAGAGTAGATCGAGCCTGTTGTTGCAGGGTCCAGTTCCCGTGAAAGCTTAGTCTGCGCTGCATGCAAAAAGTCAGACTCATCTTCAGTGGGTTTTGGACTCTGCTGTTCTGCTAATATATTGATGGACAGAAGTTCTAGTTTGCACTCAAGGGGTAATGGTGAGAGTCTAGTTCATTACCAGGCGTCTGGAGAAGTTGAAGGCATGTTGAGGAGGGGCCAAGTCCCTTTATTTAGCAGCCTAGATCACAAGTGGGGAACTCCAAGTGTCCAGGGCCGGTGTCCTGCAGGTTCTAGATACCTGAATCAAATGATTAGTTCATAACCAGACCTCTGGAGAACTTCAAGACATTTAAATCAGCTGTGTTGGATCAAGGACACATCTAAAACCTGCAGGACACCGGCCTTAGAGGCCTAGAGTTCCCCCACCCCTGCTCTACACGATGGTTTGGCTTCGCCTTAAAGACAGGGTGAAAAGCTTGGTTATTCAGGAGGAGCTTGGAGTAGAGCTGTTACTCCACCACACTGAAAGGAGTCAGTTGAGGTGGTTCGGGTATCTGACTAGGATGCCTCCCTGACACCTCCTAGGTAAGGTGTTCTGGGTATGTTTCACCGGAAGTAGATCTCAGGGCAGACTCAGGATACACAGAAGAGTATATTTCTCAGGTTTTTTGGAAATACCTTGGTGCCCCCCCAGGAAAGCTAGAGAAGGTGGCTGAAGAGATGGAGCTCTGTGCATCTCTGATATGTACTTATTGAGATATATAGCTGCATATGACTGGAATGCATACAGCAAGAACTGGTTTATTTTCCTCGCACTAATATGCAAAACGTAAAGGAAACAATAAAAAGCACAGTGAACGTTTCTCCAAAAACATTTAACACACCATGTGCTGTAGTATAGCTAGCTGATGCTAATGTATTAACTAGCTATGCCAGCCTGACATTCAAGGTTAATAAAGATCAGCAGGTTTTGGCTTGAACTGGAAAATGCTGGAAAGTGTTAGCATCTAATTATCTGAGACAATTGAGTCGGTCGTGTTGATTATTGCTGTAAATTATGAGAAAGTACAATTTTTCCTCTCTCTGCTAAAGGAGCTAATAAAGGAAACATATGTTAGAGCTGTTTCTTATAGTTTATAAACTGTATAATATGCTGTATTATTTAATTTAGTCCAGCTGTTCTGGTCGTGGAGAAACTGCATCATTTCCATAGAAATGAACAAAGAATTCTGATTGAAGCACCATTCCTTATCATTTCAAATATTTAACTTATTCTCACCATGACTGCAGGTCACGTCACTCACAGAGCAGTGAAGTACACACATATCAATAGCGAACAGCCATCAGAGGCAGAAACAACTTAAAACCAGAGTAACCCAGTTACTAGTTTAATTTAATCTTTCATATTTCAAAAAGAAAATCAAAAAACAAATCCTAACTGCAGGAAGTGACCCGGAAGTATTTCCAATTATAAAGGAAAGGAGCTTCAACGCTTTTTTAATTGCTTCTCTTAACACTGGGGCATCCTTTATGAAAGGAAAGAAGAAAATGCCGTCCCATAATTCTTAGCGAGGACCATCTGGACATTCATGAGAACTGTCAAGAAAACTAACCAAGCAGCGGAGATCATGCACATTTTTAAACATAATTGTATTTTCCAGTTCCCCGTGAATGTTGACGGCAGGCCGGTGTTTCAGATTAACTGGTGTTTAGATTAACTGGTGTTGGTGGAACAGATGTGTGGCAGACTTGCGTTTCAGGAGCTGCTACCGACAAATCAGCAAAAAACGCCAAATGTGTCATCTGTGAAGCTTGTGAGGTTATCCCAAACACACTCCGTCAGTCTTGATGCTGTTGAACAACAAAATGTTTAAAAATGTGGCGAGTTTACCTGGTGATATCCTCAAACAGACACGATTGAAAGGTACAAATGTGTTGTGCATGTAACGAATTCAAACGTGCTCAGGGCTCGCAAAATCGCTAGCCCGACGTCCCGGGGCTAGCGATTTTTCCAGTCGGGCTACCAAAATCTATCTCTGCCCTGCCCGTCGGGCTATCATAGGAAGGAAAAATGTATGTC